CCCTAAACCCAAAACCCTCAACTCTATCTACTGGCCTCCCTTCCTTCCCTGGCGTTTCCAGTGGTCTCGCCTGCTTTTTTGGGCGTTGTTTCCTCCTGCTTTCCCAGAACCACAGCGGACCCTGGATCTTGGGAGGTAAGGTTTCGGGCTTTGGATTTAGGGTTTNNAGGGTTTAGGATTTAGGGTCTACGGTTTACGATTTAACTCCCCTGCTCCGGCGATGTTTCTCCGGACCAAGGCATAGAAAACGATCCCGATACGAAAAGCCTGAACTCCCCTGCTCCGGCGATGTTCCTCCGCACCAAGGCATAGAAAAGGATCGTCGGCAGTTTGCTCCCCAGCCTGCTTTGATGTTCAATTGGGAGCTCAGCTTCTGCGGCAAATGGCTGCTGATGTTCACAGACTGGTCCTCACACGAACGCGAAGCCACAGCTTCTCGAATCCGCCGCGAAGCCTCGCTAGGAGTTTCCAGAATCATGATGCGAGCTGTGGCTGGACATACGTCGTTCCGGCCTGAATACGCCGCTAGCTGAATTGGCACCTGATGCTGACCTAAGACCACGTCTGAAAACGGCCAAGGGCGGCTCGAGTAGCACATGTTTGCGGCAAGCAGCCGCCGCCGGAGTAAGTTGCGCCGTAATCCGCACCATAAGCAGCGATTGCTCCTCAACAGCGGCAATGCCTAGATGCTGACATAAGACTACGTCTGGCGGCCAAGGGTGGCTCGAGTAGCACATGTTTGCAGCAAGCAGCCGCAGCCGCAGTAACTTGTGCCGTAATCCGCACCACAAGCAGCGATTGCTCCTCAACAACTGCAATGCCTAGATGCTGACATAAGACTACGTCTGACGGCCAAGGGTGGCTCGAGTAGCACATGTTTGCAGCAAGCAGCTGCAGCCGGAGTAAGTTGCGCCGTAATCCGCACCATAAGCAGCGATTGCTCCTCAACAGCTGCAATGCCTAGATGCTGAACAGCTTGCCTATCACCAGCAGTCAGCATTCAAAGTGGCAGCATGACCTCTCGGAATCAATCTTCAACGTCGGCAACTCAGTGTACCCTGTGCTGCATGTCGTATGTATGTTATGCGACAAAATTTGTATAGGCGCACGTTGGGCGCGGAAGCGCTGAAGTTATCAGCGGGGCGCAAACTGTCCGCCGAGTCCGTCGCCCACGGCGCTTCAGGTGGCCTCGCCGCTAATTTGCATGAAATTGCCCTTTATGGGGCTGGCAGGGTTCGGCGACGAATCAAGACCCGGACAACTGAAACGCGGCACTAGTCCCTACCCCACCTATAAGCAGCCCCCTGTAGGTCTCCAGGCAACGCTACTGCTCCGCCCCCCCGGCTTCATAGTATGGATTTTGGGTTCGTGACTCTGTTGCTCCATGGGGGGGTAGCCTTGCCTCTGTGAAACAAGCTAAAAATGCAGATGCGCGCCGTGTCGCAAAAGCGGCTTCCCAGCTTGGGTGGCAATAGCCACGCCAAGGAATTCTCAATGCACATCCGTATTTGGGGTGGGCCCGCCACGCCAAAGAGATTTCTGAAGTGTATCTGGGTGGGCCAGCCACTCCACCTACATGCTTCAGGGAACCATGCTCTTCGAGCCCACCTGGTATTGAATCAATGGATTGCGATGGGAGGGGTTTTCAGCGGGTCCAACATAGGGTTTAGGGATTTGAGGTTGAGTTGTCTTCATCACAATTATTATTGTCTCCTGCTTGGCTGTATTTATCCGGCTGTACATGTGTCTGTTATTGCCTCTGTTGCCCAGGCTTGCCACAAGTTTCTCTTTAACGACTTTTTCCTGCACTCGAAAGCTCTAGGTGATATCGAGCCCTATTATTTATAGATCCCTTATAGAATCCTTCAAGGATCCCTTTAAGGGAACCCCCAAACGCCCTACTTACATTCTTAAGGCCCCTATATTACATCATGGGGCCTCTGTGGTAGAAGCCCAACAGTTCGAAACCCAATAGCCTCACTCCTCAAGGGTGCATAGGGATTCCCAGCACTGTTGGTCCTTGATCCGATGTCCAACTTTTTTCCCCTAAACCTCTAAACCCTAAACTCCTAAACCTTAGACCCCTAAACCCCTAAACCCCGATATATATATATATATATATAAACTAAAGACAGTAGGAAACTCCAAGGATGACGATAGCTTCTTGCCCGGGCCCCTATACGAGGGGGAGACAGTGAACCGAGAAGCAAGACCCGAAACCCTAAACCCCAAACCCTAAACCCTGAACCAAAACCCCAAACCCTAAACCCTAAACCCTAAACCCTAAACCAAATCCTGCACCCTAAACCCTCATTCACTCATGCTCCTGTAGTGTTGAGCCTGAAACCCCTGTGCACCCAGCTTGACAGGACACGAGTCGGGAAATTCAACGGCGGCATATCACAGTTCTGTTGGTGAAGAGATGCAACCCTAAGGATCTTATTGCTGTTATGGGCTTTCACTATGGGGGTCCATGAGCCTTAGGGCAATGTTTACATTGTTTTTTTTGCAAGCCCTAAACCCCTCACCCCTAAACCCTACACACCTCACCGCAAATACCTCACAGACCTAAGTGCGAGGCTTTGCGAGGCTTCAGGAACCTTCGCATCCAGTACCCGGGTCTTCGGGCCACAAAATCGTGTCTTCCAGGAAACTGCCTGAAACCTCAAAAGCCCAATGTGCCGAAGACTACTGTACCTATAGTCTCCATTGTAGTTCCTTTTGTTGGTTTAACCAAATATATAGTAAGGATTCTATAAGGTATCTCCAAAAAGGAACTACAATAGAGACCATAGGTAGATCTCTGCTTCATAGACCACAGGGCTAGCAAACTTGATCTATCAGGCCCGGGCGGTCACTTTCGACCGTAAAGTCAGGACTTGACAACTTCCGTGTGCCCAGGCCCCAACCCCAAAATCGACCCGAATTATGCGCCCTTTCGAGCCGTCTTTCTACTTTCCCCTGCTCCTGCACCTTCATATTGCGGTTAAGTGGCCCAGATTTTGGAAGAGCCCCTTATGAAAGCCCCTGAACCCTAAAGCCTAAACCCATAGGCCTCTAAAGCCCCCGGCTCCTGCGTTCGCTGGGCCACTTGGTCTTGTTCCTGCACCTGCTGACTGGTACTGCAGGAATGGGCTATGTTGATGATATAAACCCTGCATTACCTTAAGGACCCGAAACTATGGGAACTGTGGTACATTCCTTACTATGGGTGATGCAGGGGTTATATTATCAACTGTATGGCCCTCAACCCTAAACCCTTTGGGGCGACCTTAAGGGACTAATCACAGGGGTCGTCTGTCGCAGGACGTCTGCGCATCTGTTGGCTCAGTTTGGGTTTTGTGGGTTTAGGGTTTAACTAGGGGTATATCACTATCTGAATTATGTAACTCAAAGGAACCTCAGCCAAGGAATGGTTTAGGATTGCTGGCTCGTCTAAGGGACACAGAAATATGATTCCGCATTTACCAAAACCACGCGAGACTGCTGCATGCTGCGACTTTCTCATTCTCTGCTCGTGTTTTCATTCGCTTCGACAGTCCCGTCTCAGGACGGAGCGTTTATTCGAGATGTCAGGCCCTTGCATGAGTTGGCAACCATACATGTAGTGCAAACAAGTGTTGCAATACCAGATCCCTCGTCATTCGTACCCTAGCAGTCCTATTCAGACCGTAGACCTTGCCAGTTGTTAGTTTCCTGCGAAGTTTAAAGCAGCATCGAGACATCAGTGGACTAACGTCAATAAGACGAAAACAAAACAATCCTACCAGGCTACCATACTATAATAGGCACCCAAACCCTTTCTGCTTGATGTCCCTGTTTTGGCTAAACGCTGAACTTATAGAGTAGCCCCTTAAACGAGCTGAACCCAATTAGGAAACACATTTGGGGGCTTTGGCAAATAGGGGCCCCGAATATAGCACCCTAAATAATAGTATCCTTATAAGAAGGGCCCCAAAATAGGGTACCCTAAGTTTCGGAAACTCGCATTCAGAAAACCCTGAGTAATTAGAGTAGGGTTTTGGAGTCCTGTATCGTAGATTTATAATGAGGAACCCCAAAAAGAGTATAGGTCATTATTGAGGCCCCTATGTTAACGAAAAAACATGTAGACGTAGAGGGCCTATCCCAAAGGATCCTAAGTACTGTTATGGGGAATACTGCCCCCAAACATAATACTAAGTCCTGCTATAGAAACCCTTCATTCTACCGTATAGGTACTTAAGACCCTAACCCTAACCCTAAAACGCTAAAACCCTAAACCCCTGCACCCTAAAACCCTAAGCCCTAAACCTCTAAACCCTGAAACCCTAAACCCTGAAACCCTAAACCCTGAAACCCTAAATCCAAAAACCCTAAACCCTGAAACCCGAAACCATTATGTTCGGAGCCCAGGCTCCTTGTCCGTCGTCTCAGCCGCTACGCCTTCGGCGCTATCGGCCTTGGCCTTGGGAAGAGTCGAGGGCTTTAGGGTTCAGGGGGTTCTGGGGTTAGTTCAGGGGGTTCTGGGGTTTGGGGTTTGGGGTTTTAGGGTTCAGGGTGTTCTGGAGTTTAGGGCTTTAGGGTTTAGGGCGATTGGGTTTAGGGTGTTCGGGTTTAGGGTTGTAGAGTTTTAGCGTTTTAGGGTCACGCGGGGGCGAAAGGCTGTAAAGGGAGTAGGGAGTAGGGAGCAGGAATTTCGGTTCTCTGCGTGTAGGGTTTGCACCGAGTTCTCAAGAGTTTAAGGTCTGGCCGAGCGTTTGAGGTTTTCCGACCGTACAGACCGGCAGCTTATGGCCAATAGGATAACGGATGTAATAAGCAAAATTAGGGTTTTGGACTAGTTAAATCCACAGGTAGGATTCAGGGTTGAGGCTTCAGGGCCTTAGGGGTTTTAGGATTGGGAATGCAGGATTTAGCGCTCATTTGGGTGTAGGATTCAGAGCCTTAGGGTTCTAGGGCTCAGGAAAGGTTGTGGGGCTTTCGGTTGCGGGGCATGGTCTAGAATTCATGTCTCTGGCGGCCCCCAAGTCTGAATATGCGTCAGTTCTTACTTTGCTTACTTTGCTTACGGGTTTGGAATGAGCGGAGCTCGACGGTCCAGGATTTAGGTTGCAGGCTTTGCAGCTTCGGCCACACCTGATGCAGTAGCCCTCTTATAATAAAACGTCGCGTGTCATTACATACGGATACCAGAATATACGCCGCCAGCCCTGTTCTTATCATGCAGTGCCCCTGAAGCGCCGAAAGTTGAAACCTTTCATGAGACTCATTAGAACGTGTGTCACCTTTAGTCTTGAACGAAGCTTCAAGGTTTCGCACCAAGTTTGCGATTAAACCCTAAACCCTAAACCCTAAACCCTAAACGGTTCAGGTTTTAGGGTTTAGGGGTGTGGCTGCAGACGGCACACAAGGACTCCACCATCCCCGAAGATCCAAGTTCACGCGCCTCCGATCTCGGTACTTCCTGGGAGGGACGTCCAGCCTACAGTGCGTAAGTCTAGTGTTGCGGGCATTATATAGGGTTTAGGGTTTAGGGTTTAGGGTTTAGGGTTTAGGGCCGTTCTAATTATTATATAAAGTATTATCGATATTCTTGTAGGCAGTATTACAGGTATTCTAGCCTTCACAAGGGTTCATAAACCCTAAATCCTAAAGCCTTGAACCCTAAAGCCCTAAATCCTAAACCCTCAAACCCTAAACCCTAAGCCCTATTCCTCACTTCCCTAGACCCCTTGAGCCCGAAGCTTTCTATCTAGGAGTTTGCAACCTACTCCCACCATGCTCTATAGCTCTTTAACAATCCAGCATAGTATGTTACAGTATATCATGGTATATTGCAGTCAATTATAACAGTATATTATTATCGTATATTATCGTCTGATATATATATATATATATAGTATAATCGTGTCCATTCTAGTTTATTTCGTAGATTGTAGTATCTTGCAATGTGTTTTATAAACCCTATAAACCCAACTTGTGGCAAGCAGGTGGCATCTGGCATGAAGCCCCGGAAGTGCCCCAAGGCCTTTACGAACATCTTTCCTGGGCCGCTGCAGGGGCCGCGCTTCATTCAGTCCCAAGGAGGCTCCATGTTTAGAGTTATGTAGGGTTTAGGGTTTAGGGTTTAAGGTCTGGAGAATTAGGGGATTGAGGGTTTAGGGCTTCAGGGCTTTACGGTTTAGGGTTTAGGGTTTAAGGTCTAGGGAATTAGGGTTTGAGGGTTTAGGGCTTAGGGTTTAGGCATGCAGAAACCCTGATACAAAACCCTTGAAACCAGTACAGGAACCCGTCTATATAGATACCTTTCCAAGACCCAAAACCCCAAAACAACAAAATTCAAAGCTCGATGGGGGTGTAGCCTCGTAACAAAACCAAAGAGACATGACAGGGGCTGGTATCGAGAGATAGGGATTTCCATCAAAAACAAGATCTTGGGGAGAGTGGTTGATGTGATATCCTTGATTTCCAGACCTTGTGGGCCCTATGCAATTATAGATTTCACTATGTAGGGTCTGATATTTGGAATAAGCTTCCCCAAAAAATGCTACGTAGCAGTGCTGCGAGCATCCTTCCCAGTAAATCTTGCCGCAGCCACCGCAGAGCCAAAACTCGTCGAAGTTCTCGAGCGTCTTCTCTGCCACCTCCGAAGCTTCGAGATCCGGTGGAAGTGCCTTTGAAAAACCCTGAGCCCTAAAGCTTAAGGGTTTAGGGTGTAGGTTCTTAAGCCCCCGGTTTAGGGTTTAGGGTTTAGGTGTTTAAGGCACCGGTTTAGGGTTTAGGGTTTTAAGTTTGGGACCGGCCCCCCATCCCCAGCAAGACAAGGACCATGACCGACCACGAATGTTACGGCGAAGCACTCTGCCAGCCTGTCCGATCGGTTGGCCCCCGACCCGACATGCTTCGGTTGATGATATAAGTCCTGCATTACCTCAAGGCCCTCAAACTATGGGAATTATGGCATATTCCCTATTTTTTGTAACGCAGGATTTGTATCATCAACGGTAGCAATCCTAGAGTCACCCTTAAAGGAACCAGGGAACCCAAAGCCCTAAACCCTAAACCCTTGTGCTACAGGAACCCGTAAGGGAACCCTGAACCCTTGACAATCCCAAATTTGAGAATGTAGGGTTCTTGCTAGTTTGAATAGGGCTTGGGGGTATATTATGCAAAAATATTACAATGAGATCCAACCGAAAAATTGTTTTGTAATTATTTCGGCCCCTATAAAACGGGCCTCGTTTCTACTCTAACCATGTCAGATCAGTTTGTCCGAAGAGAACCCGTAAAGCAGTCACACCGGAAACGAGACCACCAGAAAGAATTCATTTTTTTCGTACCGATGGACAGAAAAAGTCCACCAAAAGTGTGTGGGCCGTAGCAAATGTTCTGAACTTCTATGGCTACAGTTGTCAATCTTGAGATTTTGCTCGCGGTCCCCGAAGCACAAACAAAGCCTTTAATATAGGGGCTATTAAGTCTCAACATAGGGTTTTGGGGTATTTTGTACACTAACTAAAATAAGGCCCCCCCCCACCCCCCAACCCCAGTCGAATTCTTAAGGCCCCTAGATTACCCGAGCCCCAGGCATGCTTCCAGACTAGTATGCCCCGAAGAGCACCCAAAACAAATACTAATAATGTAGGGGCTTTAAAAATTAGAATAGGGTTTTGGGGGTTCCTGATCATAATTAGAGTATAATATACTCAAAACACTAGTCTAATCATTAAGGCCCCTACTTTACCTAAACTCCTAAACCCCTATAAACGATACAACAGAAACATATTGGAAGCTTGAAGAACACAATAATCTGAGGCTTCTGAACCCGACAGAAAGTGGAAACACCCAAACCCGAAACTCTAAACCCCGCAAAGAACCTCGAGACTTTGAACACCCTCATGAAACTCAAATAACACTCTATGACTCAAACGAACCCTCTTCAACTCTTTGAATCTTGGAAGCACTTTAAAGCGCCCTGGACCTCAGACCCCCCAAAAACGATGAAGCTTTGCGCACAGCCCAAATACACCCCGGAGAGCCCTGCAACCCCAACTGTTGCTCTATAAGCCCTGGGCACTAAACCCAGACCCCAATGAGGCTCGAAGCCCCAAGAAAGCAACAAAGCAAATCCATGGACCTGCCGCAAATCCCAAACCCTAAACCCCAAACCCCAAACCCTAAATCTCAAGCTCTAAACCCTAAATCCTGTAAACCCTTTATACCCTAAACGCTCAACCCCAAATCCCAAACCTTGGATCCTGAAAACCTTCCTAAACCCTATAAGCCCTAAAGCCTAAACCTTATATAAACCGTAAACCCTAAATTCCAAACCCCACAGGCCTAAATCTTATAAACCCAAATCCTAAAAACCCTAAACCCTGCAAACCCTAAAAGCCCTATAAACCCTGTAAGCCCTCAACCCTAAACCCTATAATCCTGTAAGCCCTCAACCCTAAATCCTATAAGCCCAAAGCCCTAAACCCTGAACCCTTGAACCTCCTAAACCCCCTAAACCCCAAACCCCCAAACCCTAAATAAACCCCCTAGACCCCTGAACCCTAAACCCCCTAAACCCTAAACCCTAAACCCTAAACCCTAAACCCTAAACCCTAAACCCTAAACCCCCTAAATGCCTAAACCCCCTAAACCCTAAACCCCCTAAACCCTAAGGGGCCTGCGGGTTCCCTCGCACGGCATCGCGGTCCACGAGATTCCAATCCTGGGCGCCGGATTGCAAGGTTTAGGGCTTATAGGGCTTA